CCCCACCCCCCTACAGTGAGATGGGGAGAAGAACTGGAAAGAATAGTAAAACTCATGGGTTGAGATAAGAACATTTAATAACTAAAAGAAAATAAAATAACAATATTAAAATGTAATAATAATAATAAAAGTAGTAGTAGTAGTAACGAAAGGGGATATAACAAAAAGAGAGAAATAAAACTGAAGGAAAAAAACCCAAAAGAAGTGACGTGCAATGCTATTTCTTGCCACTTGCTGACCTATAACCAGACAGTCCCTAAGCAGCAATCAGCCCTTTTGGATATCTCTGTCCATTCTGTATGCTGAGCATGATGTTCTATGGCATGGAATATCCCTTTGGCTAGTTCTGTTCCCTCCCAGATTCTTGTGCACCTGCTTGCTGGCAGACCATGGGAAACTGAAAAATAATTCCTTAATTTAGGATGTGCTACTTAGCAACAGCAGTGTGATATCAACATGATTCCCACACTAAATCCAAACCACACTGTACTAGTTACTAAAAGAAAATTAACTCCATCCCGTTTGCAACCAGGACAATAGGCTATTTGTATAATGTGTCCTCATGTTCCTACTTCTGGTTGGAACAGTGAAGACTTTGATAATCCTGCCTGTTCAGGTGTTGAAAAATGTGGTGACTCCAACCTAAACGGTGAAGAAACATATACTCAGATGCTGAGAAAAAAAAAAACCAAAACAAACAGATTATTAAGGAAAGATCCACCAATTAATTAATGAATTAATTCCCTTTGTATTGCTGTTCTCTTGCACTCATAACCAGGCATACAATGGTCTACTTTTTTCTCTAAGTTCTTCTCTGACTCTTTTGCTCTCTATGTCCTGCACTTAGTCTATGTCACATTTGTCTTCACTTTCAACACTTTCCTCACTTTAGAGAGTACTAGTTTTTTCACGCCTGATTCTTACACAGTGGGATCTTCTCAGGCTTTGATCAAACAATGTTGGAAAATAACTTGGTAGCTCATTCCTCTTGTACCTTTAAGGCTGTTATCTGTCACTTCAGCTTTTCAAACCTGAGTGTCCATATATCAATGAAGTTTAAATTTAGAAGCCTTACAAAAGTGATTTCTGCAGGAAAATGGGTTTGGCAAAATATGTACGGACAACTTTACACTCATACACACACATACACAGAGAGAGAAGCTGAGATGTGTTAAAATTAACATCTTTACTAGAAAAGATTAGATTTGCTTATTCAGGTCTCTTTTTCTGCCCTTTAAAATAAGTGATCTAGGAATCCACATGAATGTAAGACATGTGTGTAGATACACCCTTACTGTGATTCTGTTTTAACAAACTGGTTTGATGACACCTCCTTATAGCACAAATTTCCTCAATTTTTGGAAGAACTGATGTTAACTACTCCTGGGCTTTCATAAACACATATATACTATTGTTATAAACTGTAATTTCTGTCCATGCTGTATTTTAGATTCATGCAACGACCTGAAAGAATAGAAATCCCATTTTTCATTTCTGAGCTTAGTGTAGTGTTCCAGGTGTCAAAAAAGAAAAGAATTCCATTTCATATAATAGAGGAAAATAATTCAGATGCTAAATGTAGATATCATCATTTTAACTCTCCTTCATTCCACAAAAAAAACCAGCTCTAAGAGCTTTAATTTCTTAATAAAAAGTAGGAAGGTCGATGCAAAGAGAGCTCATTGAATTGGCATAAATAAGCAGCAAAATTTGGCTTGTATAAGACTCTTGGAACCTGCTATATCAGATACAGTGTTTTAGGCATGAGCAAGAGTTTCATTTCCATATTTCCACAAACTAAGCCACACAAAGATGAAAGAAAATGAAGTGCAATGAAGAAACTATGTATTTTAAAAAGATGTATATTTTGGTTTAAGTAGATATCCAGTTTAATGTTGAAGTCCTGCCTTCCATTTTTATATGCACATGCAGATGTATAAAGAACCATCACATAAGATGCCTGGTTGCCAATATGTACATGTGTCTGTATATGTTGGTGTGTACATGTAGTGTTCATTTCAGGAAGGTACGTGAGGAATAAGCTGTATATATGTACTATAGATAGGTTTTTCTATTTCTTAAAATCATGTTCTGATAGGCCTTGAAAATAGAGTCTGTAGCAAGGGCCTTATTTTTGCAGGACGAGAATGAGAGGCATGACATACACCAATACAGTTAACAGTCAAGCTCTGACGTTTATTAGAAAAACAAGTCCTTATATATTCTTGTGACAGCAAATCCGTGTGTTGCTCTGGCACATGTCATTTCAAAAACTCGTTCCTCTCAGCACTTTCAACAAGCGCTACTAAGTGTGCACAACCGGTAGATAAATTTCTGCTTTGTTATTCTACAGATTCCCTTCTTATCTATTTCTTCCCTAACAAGCATAAATTCTTTCACTTTTAGCCGTCATTAATCTAGACGCCATTAATCTTCTAACACAAGCGCGTCATTAATTTAGACATCGTTAATCTTCTAACTTGAATGCTGATGACACTTTTACATTGTCAGTGATGCAGACGGTTCACGACCTGGCATATGCACCCACAATTCCCCCTTTTCTTTTTATTAAGGCCTCCGTCCTATTTACCACACAAGACAGACAACATCTCATTAAAACAGGAAGACAGCATGTCAATAATCCCACTATGCACATTGTCTGGCAGTTACAAACAATGCCTAAATATAAATTGAGAGTGACCAGAAAGATTCACACAGCACATACCCTCAAATTCTTCACATCCATGTCCTGGTGCCAGTAACAAAAATCTATAGTCGCTTTATTCTGCAAAACAGCATGCCTTATACTACCTTCATCTGTCAATAAATTACTTACTATATTAGATGTTAAGTTAAATTGTTCTACACTCCAACAGGCTATTTTGTTCAAAATGGATAGAGCTTTTACAACCCCTACTACCGGGGGCTAAGAGAGATGCAGTAACAATCTCTCCAGGCCTCCATAATGCCATTTTATTAAAGGATACACAGAAATTTATAGACTACCTTAAAGTACCCGTGCAGCTACTTGATTGCTCATAGGCTAAGGCTACTTGTCCACGCGTCCTTTTGCCCTCTATGATTGGTCCTGGTGTGGTGTCCACGCGCCACTCTCCTGCTGGGCAAACATCTTGTTTTCCACAGTGCAGCTTCCTTATCTCTTTGCTATGCACGCAGTTTCTCAGCCCCTTGGCCTTGCAGGTGTTCTTCACAACAGCTACAGCCTGTTGCTACAATGAGGCCACTCACTCTGGATCGCTCATAAGATGCCTGTTGTTTTCCAGCCATTCCACAAATCCCTCTTTTTGTTTTTGAGCAATCCAGACCCCTTTTATTGTTCGGTCCATCATTCTCAAAACAATTCCACACACAGTTTAACATCATTAAAAGGATTATAATGACAATTTAAACTGTTATTCCATGTAAAACCAAATCTTTTAACCATTCAGTAATTAGTAACATTTTAGCTGAATCATTATTAAATATTCTTCCTTCTTCAAGATGTAAACCCATTGTGTAAGCATCAGTACAAAACCAAGTGTCATTTACCGGTACTGCTGAAGGGGTCACGCTTTGCCATCCCAGCCAGACTGTCTGATTATACCAACCATGTGTCAGATAGGCTTTTTGTCCACCAAAGCATATACATCCCCAGGCCTGATCCTGCATGCTGTTCCCAGCTACTGGGGGAAGAGAATATCTCAGCTCTAACTCCAACCAAGCAGGTCTGAGATGGGTCAGCAGCAGTTGCTAAGCCCAGGCAAAATGCCTGCTGTCCTGATTGATTTTTCCCTGCCACCTTGGCACAACTCGGTAGTTTCTTATCTATCTTCTGAGGTCTGTTCTTCATCAAAGCTTATCTGTTTGTCAGAGGCTGTGTAAGGCCGATGCCTCCCAGATGTCCCCTTTCTTGGTTTTGTAACAGCACCTGCAAGACTTGTTTGAGAGCTGTATCCATTAAGAGTTAGACAAACTTCAAAAACATAGCATACTTAGAATAGTTGCACAGAAGGCTAAAACAATACAGCAGTTACAATTACTAGTTAAAAAGAGTAGGCTAATTTCAGTACCTATAATTAAGGGATATGACTAAATACTACAAAACAAACAGTAAGGAAAACACGGATTACCACACTTAATGGGGTACTAACATTCAGATCCACAATTGCTGGGGAATCCTGGATGCAGCGAGGATTTTGAGTGCCCTTCCTTGCAAACTGGAAATCCTGCGCGATGTGTCCATCCATAGGTGAGGCATCCAAAGTTGCTGCAAGCAGGTCCAGCCTCTAAATCAACTGGCCAAAATAACTGGCACTTTTTCTTGAGTGGGAACATCTGATTTCATCCTCCTGTTGAGTTCCACCCAGAGCCTGGCCAGTACTCCAGGGGGAAATCCAAGGGAGTTTCTAATAAGTTTAAACACTTTGGGTTCTTAATTCTTAATATTGTTAAACAAAGAAAGTTAAATACACACATTCTTATAGCATTTCATCCTTATTAATAACTACATTCTGTGTAAGCTACATATTTCACTAGTGACTAGTAAGCTTATATATTTCATTAAGGAGTTGCAATTACTGTTAGCATTTTCTCTTAAAAGAATTGGCAACTGTAGCGTAGTTTGTTCTGCTGCAATAGCAAACGTTACCCAGACATTCTGTTTAAACAATCAGTCAAAGAGATCGCAAACTGTCAGCACAGGGGCACTCACAGCACCTGAGTGCTGGCTGCCTCTCATGCCTCAGGTGTGGTTGCACACACCTTGCCAGTGACCATTGGAGACTGAGACCTGTGGAGACACAAGCATAACCTCTTCCCCAGGTTATTAAAAGATATGGTCCTTCCCAGTTACTACTTTCTAGGTTTTTTGTTAACACTTGAGCCTTGCTCTGGACTTCTTGTTGATCTGGTATCTTTGATGAGAAATGACACAAAATTGGTGGCACCTATGAGACAGGGGAAATGTTTAAAAGGTCCATGACATATAATGTCTTATTTAGCCTTTCACGAGGTGTAGATTGATACCTTGAATCTTCCCCCTTTTGTTGTTATTGTTGTAGTAATAGACGCTTTACCTTGCTAGACGTATGCTCCACAATGGCCTGACCGTCTGGTGAATGGGGAATGCTGGTCAGGTGCTTGACTCCCCACTGTATGGCAGGATACAAACAGTGCTCCAGAAAAGGTATTAACAGACACATGTACATATTTTAACATTTCAAATGCAGCTGAGTGAGTGACATCAGATTGGCATAATTCTAAGGAGGTGGATCCCCAATGGTCACCACCACTTCCCTGTTGAAGAGATGGAGTTTTTCTGGTATTCAGGGCAAGTTGCAATGATGTCTTTAGCGTGATGCCTTGATAAAGAAAACTGTATTGCTCTGACATTCTGATGAAAAAAAATGCATGTGTTTTTCATCCCACTGAAACAGCAGAGCTTATGGCTCTTCTGGAGCCAAGACCTCTCCCCCTTTTTGTTTTTGCAAAAGCACTTTCAAGTTTTGGTGCGTTCTTTCCATAATGGCTTGTCCCATGGGGGAATGTGGTATACCTGTGATGTGGCATATACTCGTGACGCTTGTCTGTTTGAGATGGTGTTAGCTACACGGTGGAGATCTTGTTTCGCTTTCTCTGTAAGTACTCGGTGTTGTCAGTGAAGAATCTCTTTGTAAAATATCAATCAAGCTATGCAGACCATCATTAGTTAGGCCCAACAATGGCTCCCAACAGTATCTGTAAATCATTTAAAGTCTTAACATCAGTTTTAAGTTTAACCTGTTGCAGGACAATAGTCTGTTCACAAATTCTCCAGCGCAGGTACTGCCTGGTGATGATATCTGTACCTTTTCAAGTGCTATTTGCAACTCCATTTGAAATAGTGAGTGCTTGGTTAAAGCAAGAGCCTTTTCCATGACCTCCTGTGTTTCTGCTGCTATAAGGATGTCATCCATATAATATATAACAGCCTGGGGGACCTGGTGGGACTTTTATGTCTTATGGTAAAACAACCCAGTGGTACTGTTTTGCAGGTTTGCTAACATTAATACTGGGAACAGAGAAGGCAAATTTAGGTGCATCATCTGGATGCAAGGGAATGGTAAGAAAAAATCAATCATTTTAATCAATTATTACAAGGTGCCAGTTTCAGGGAATCATTGTTAGGGAGGACATTCATGGTTGTAAAGTACCCTTATCCTCCATGGCATCATTAATGTGTCAGAGATCATGTAAAAGTCACCATTCACCACTTTTCTTTAAAATAACAAACATCAGAGAGTTCTAAGGACTGGTGGTAGGTACGATGCGTCCTGCACTTAATTGTTCCTGAATTAAATCATCAAGGTGGCACGACTTTTCCCTTGACAAGGGCCACTGACCCACCCACACATGTGATTCTGTTTTCCAGGTTAGATTCAGGGTGGGTTTCAGGGTGGGTTGTGCTGAAGTGGTGATTAAGATAAATTTGATGCAATTTGAGTTCCCCATCGAGCCATACAGTCATGACCCCAAAATGCAATAGGGGTTTTCCAATATCAATGGATGAATATTTGCTACCCAGTTTTCTGGGCCCCTTACATGAATGAGATCCTTGCTTTGAATTATTACAGCATGACCACCAACCCTGAAAAGCATTTGAATTACCTGAGCTAATGGCCAATCTGCTCACAGATATTACGGTCACATCCACACCAGTATCTAAAATGCCTGTCAGCTCAACAGATTCTTCTGCTTTGGTACGGGCACATTTTACCAGAGGTCAACCTTGTGTCACTGTCTGAGCCCAGAATATTTGAGTAGTACCTGCTGATCCAAATCCTGAGTCACTGTGGTTTCTCGGCATACTATTAGGGGCAGCCGCAGTAAAATACAGGTTCTAGACCATAATTCTGATTTCCCCTTCATAATCAGCATCTACGACCCCTGGTAAAATGAACAACCCCTGTGAGGTTGCAGATGATCTGTTGACAATATTTCCATCAGGCAGATGGTACAGAGGTGCACTCTCCCCGCAGAGTATGCACCTACATTCAAAACAACAATGAACACTAAATTACTGCCTCCTGATAGAGGAGATATTTAATCTGTGACACTTAAAACACTGAGCCCGAACAAACAGCAGCACTGACAACCCAGCGGGCGGGCACTAAGGCTCTGCACTAAGGAATGTTCACTCGCCCTGCACTACCCCCGCACTGGTAGAGTCTGCCCTGTGCTTCGTTCCTCCCTGGCCGCTTCCCTGGCGGGTCAGAGAGCTCCACAATGTGCAGCTGGAGCTGGGTTGCGTCTCACACACGCAAAACAATTACACAACCACACAGAGAGGCCCCTTACACTTATTATTACTGGCACAACATAAAATGACAAATACTACAAACATGAAAACACCGTTAAGAATATATAAAGCCATTGCTTATTGATTATGTGGTGTTGACAAAGGACGGTGCAGCACAGTGGCAGCACCTTCCCTGTGAAAAAAACTGCCGCTTTTGGCGGAGGAGGGGGTGGTGGGGT